ACTCTTTCCTGCTTATGCAGGGGGTCGGACTCAATGATCTATAGAGGTCCCTTCCGACCCTAACATCTGTGAATCTATGAATCACAGTGCCTGGGGTCCTGACTGGCTCTGCAGGCTCCCTGCCTGGCATGGCTGGCAGCAGCAGGGCTAGGGCAAGGGCACCGGGTGACCTGTGTCTTCCTGCACAGGTGCAAGAAGAAGGTGCCGGCCAGCAAGCGCTTCACCATCCACCGCGCTTCCAACGTCCTCACGCTCTCCCTCAAGCGCTTTGCCAACTTCAGCGGGGGCAAGATCACCAAGGTGGGGGGCTGGGGCTGGGTGGGGTGCATCCTGCTGTCCAGGAGGAGGGCCCAGGACGCGTCTCACTCTTGCACTTCCTCCGTGTCATCCTTCTGTGCAGGACGTGGGCTACCCCGAGTTCCTGAACATCCGACCCTACATGTCCCAGAGCAGCGGCGACCCGGTCATGTACAGCCTCTACGCGGTGCTGGTGCATTCGGGGTACAGCTGTCACGCGGGGCACTACTATTGCTATGTGAAGGTGGGTCTCTGGTGCAGCTGGGGAACGGGCATGTGCTGGAGCACGGAGATGCCCAGAGGGCTGGTGTAATGGGCAGGGGTTCTCCCACCCTGCCAGCCTGGACAGAGCGCGTGCTGTGACCCTAGCTAGCTCCAGCCAACAGGTCCTGGGGTTGCGGTGAGGCAGATTTTCAAGGTGATCCCAGGCAGGCCCATTCTTCCCTGCCTGATGATGTCTTCTGCACCCCTCCCCAGGCCAGCAATGGGCAGTGGTACCAAATGAACGACTCCCTGGTCCATGCCAGCAACATCAAGGTGGTCCTCAACCAGCAGGCCTACGTGCTCTTCTACCTGAGGTGAGTGAGCGATGGGCCGGGTTCTGCACCCACCGTGTCTGCCTCTTCCCAGCAAGTGGTCACAGTGCTCGGGAGCTGGGGGTGCGGTGTCCGGGTTTCCCCTACCGGGCCTCTGGCTGATGTCGGGAGCAGGTGGGGGGTCTGTCGGGCCCTGCTAGCACAGGGCATCCTCCATGCCTTCGGTGCCCCCTCAGGATCCCAGGCCCCCGGAAGAGCCCTGAGGGCCCCCCTGCCAAGACTGCTTCCACCCTGCCCGGCCGCACTGGTGTCGACCAGATCAAGAAGGCCGTTGCCAACGGGCCCCTCTCCTCGCCGCTGATTGGCAAAGTGAGTGCCAGGCTCCCTGGCAGCTCTGGGGGGCTAGGATGGAGCTGGCTGAGGCCTGAGCTCACCACGATGGGGCCCTGGGTGGGAGCAGCTGAGCTGCGCACGTTGCTCTGGGGAGAGCAGGCATCTCTGCAAGCACGGGGGGCCAGGGGGAGCCTGCACTGCCTTGAGCTTGCAGCCCTGGCTGCATCCTGTGGCCTGCCCTAGTGGGGTCCAGCTCCCTGATATTCCCCCACTAACCCGGCTCTGCCATGGCTCTGGCTAGAGGCCAGATGTGCCGCAGGGGAAGAAGTCTCCAGGAGCGGAGGAGATGGGCGTACCGGTGGCCCGGAGCACGTTCGGGATGGGGCCCAAGCTGCAGAATGGGACCATGCAGCCCAAGAGCCCAGTGGGGTCCCCCTCGTCCAAGCTGGCTCCCAGGCCTGTCCCCATGGCACCGGAGGAGCCGGGCAGGAGGCCCAAGAAGCTGCTCGCTGCACCGCAGCAGCACACGCTGCCCAAGGCCACTCGGGACACTGGCGGGGCCAAGCCGGAGGTCGCCAAGCAGAGCTCGTGGGGGAGCAAGGAGTCGCTGTCACCACCCTCACCCAAGCTGCCCGTGCGGTCAGCTGCCAGCAGCCAGGAGCCCACGGGCAGCAGGGGCAGCCCCGAGCCCCAGGAGCGGGACCGCAGCCGCAGCAGCCCGGCCAGCCCCGCGCACGGCACCCTGGGTGACTCGCCCAAGGGGCCTCCCAAGGCCAAGAGCCGTGCCGGCAGCTTCTGCGCCCCTGTGGACACAGACTGCGGCCAGGCCGAGTCGGATGCCGAGACGGCTGGCCCCGAGGACGTCAAGCTGGCAAAGATGAAGTCCCCACTGCTGGCCAACGTCGCGCTGGAGCTGAGCAGCACCATGTCCCCACCGCCCGCAAAGAAGCTGGCTCTCTCGGCCAAGAAGGTGGGTAGGGGCCTGTCCCTGCTGCACTGGTGGTCGGGGACAGGGGACACCGCTCCCCAGCAGCACGCGGGGGTCGTGGCTGGGTCTAGTGGAGGGCTGGGCCCGGCCCACATCGGGGCACTCCCCTGCCAGGGGGCACCCATGAATGGTGCCCGCTCCAAGTGACTTGCTGTGCCGGCTTCCTAGCAGTGGGGGCCCTGCCGGCCTGCCTGCACCTGGCCGTGGCTCAGCCCTGTTTGGGACATGGCACCTGGTGCTGCCCTATGGGGTGCCATGGCGCACAGGGGGTGGCTGGCCCGGTAGCAGCTCTGCTTGATTACGTTTCCTTCCTTCCTCTCTTCCTTTGTGTTTTCTAACTGCGATCACTTCTTCTGATTCTTCTTCTCTCACCCGCTTCCCCCTCCCCCTGCCCCTTCCCGTCAATAACTGCAGGGCAACACCCCGCGGAGGGCGAGCGGAAGTGACCGCCGCACGCAGCCGCACCCACCTTTTGCCAACCACACCTCCCCTATGGCCACGACCCACCCCGCCTCCGCCTCTCCCTGGCCTCCTGGCAAGCCCAGGTAAGCGGTGCTGCTGTGCCCCCGCCCGCCGAGCCTGCCCCTCGGTCCCAAGCAGCCCCGTGCACCTGGGGCTGGGCCTGGACCTAGAGCAGACCCCAGAGGATGTTGGAATGAGCCCTGCACCAGAGCTGGCTGGGCAGAGCACTGCGCCCGTGTCTCCCTAGAAGCAGCCGCCCTGCTCATCCTGGGGTCCCACTGGTCTCGTTCTGTCCTGGATGCTCTGGCCAAGGTGGGGCTGACCCCACGGGCACTGTCCCCTGCGTGGCAGGTCCTGGTGCAGACCCAGCTTGCCTGAGGCTGGTGGGTGGGCCAGGAGGAGGGGCTGCCCTCAGGATGGCCCCTCAAAGGACCGTGTTGGCCTGTGTCTCCCTCTCTAGGTCATCCTCATCTGCTCCCAAACCTCCAGCTCCTCTGAAGCCTGCCAGCAGCTCCCTCCCCAGCTCAGACTCCCCGTCCCCCCCCAGTGCTCGCTCTCACCTCCCGGCCTCCGCCCCCCCTGCCCTCCCTCCACAGCACCCCCTGTCCCAGGGTCAAGAGCCGGGGCCCACCAGGACCCTCCCTGGCTCCAAAAAGAAGCGGCGGAAGCACCGTCTGGGGGTGGAGGGCAGTGCCACCAGCCCTGGCCTGGGCAGTGGGGGCTTGGGGCTCTGCAGCCCGCCCCGCAAAAGGAAGCACATGGAGCAGGACCAGCGCCCCGTGTCTCAGGAGAAGGGAGCAGCCACAAAGAAGACAGATAGCTGGAAGAGAGAGGGGCTGGGGGGCGAACACAGGGCCCCCCCCCACCCCCGCCCCCCCGCCACTGGATCCCAGCAGCCCGGCGGGCTCTCGGACCAGCTCCCCCCGAAAGAGGAAGAAGAAGAAGCGAGATGTGGAGGAAGGACGTAGCCTGGGGACCTCGCTGCTGAGCAGGTGCAGGCACCACTGGGCATTGCCCCCACCAGGCATCCCTTAGGGACGTGCTCCCAACCCAGGGGTCAGCACTGCAGTAGTTTGGCCTGGCCCTGGGGGGCAGGGCTGGGGCTCCAACAGGGCTCCCCCTTCCTGGGGGGCAGGGAGACACCCCCTTGCAGCCTGGGTGCTTGGAGGGGTAAGGCAACACCAGGCACCATCTCATTGCTCTAACTCATGTCCTGTCCCCCGGCAGCTGCTCTGCCTGGGACGAGGCAGAGACCAGGGCTGTGGAGCCCAGGCGGGTAAAGCCGCAGGATGCAGGGACGGCTGGCGAGAGCGAGCATCGGAAGTGCAAGAAGAGGGAGAGCGTCAGCAGCCTGTCCCCCCAGCCTGCCTCTGAGCAGCCGGCTGCAAACGGCCTCTGTCATGTGGACAGCGCTTCAGGTAGCAGCTGCTGCGCCTCTGCCTGCACGCTCCCCTGATGCAGGGCTTGGCTCCAGGCCGCTCATCTGTGGCCTCCAGCAGAGGCAGAAGGCTGTGCTGAGCACTGTTTCCTGCTTCCCTTCCTGGGCGGGAGGCTGCTGGGGTCTGAGCTTGGCTCTTTGCTGTGAGCAGAGCCGGCCCCGGCCTTCCTGGACTCCAGGTGCTGGCACTTTGGGGTCAAGGGTAGTGAAGCAGTGTGGGGGAGGCAGCCCAGCCCGAGCACCACAGCTGGGGCCAGCCTATATCTGCCTGTGTGCTCTCACCCATGTTCTCCACAGTGCCAGTGTTCACCTGGGACAGCCAGGTCAGAGACGGGTGCAAGCACTGCCCCACCGCCCCAAGCCCCGAGAAGGGCACAGGGGCCAGGGCAGCCTGGCAGGGCCAGGAGGAGCACAGCACAGTACAGGAGCTGCTCCGGGATTCCCTGGACAAAGCGTACGGGAAGCAAGGTAAGGCCTGGTGCCTGAGCTGGGGCATGTAGCACCGGCCCTCACTCTCCAGGTGCCTGCAGTAAAGCCTGGGCATGAGCACCTGGGCCCTGGTGCTGGACACCAGGCAGGGGAGCTGTGGCTGTGTGGCGACTGCCCCTGACACCTGGCTCTACCCTGCAGTGCTGACATGGGAGGGCCAGGCGTCCGCTGTGAGCCGGGACGCCATCCAGGATGCAACCTGGGCCCGTAGTGCAACCGTCCTTGACGAGTGGGACGAAGAGTTTGACAGAGGGAAGGTGAGTCTGGTGCTCCTGGGCTGGAGGCGGGAGGGGGAGGGGGCTATGGGTCCCTGCTCCAACCCACCTCTGCCCTTCTGCAGGTGAAGAAGATCAAGAAGCTGAAGCGGGAGCGGAGGAGGAGTTTCAACGCCTTCCAGAAACTGCAGAACAAGCGCAACTTCTGGTCTGTGACGCACCCGGCCAAGGCCGCCAGCCTCAGCTACCGGCTCTGAGGTGGGGGTGCCTGCGGCCACCTGCCCTGCAGCCCCAACGTGGGGGCCGGGCTGCACGGCAGGCCCACCCCGGGGTCCCCATTGCTGCTGCTGCTGCCTGGTCTCTGCCCCACTACGTGCTTCACTGGCAGGGCCAGGCTCTGGCACAACCCCTTGGGCTGGCGCCAGGGGCCTAGGCTCTGCCCTGGCGGGGAGCTGCAGGCTGGTCAGTGCTACTCCCTCCAGCCCAGCTGTGCCCCCCTTGCCCTGCTGCCCTCCGGCTGGGCGTGGGGCAGCAGGATGGTACCAGGCTCCCCCACCCCCATTCAGCCCATCCACCAAGGACCAGTGTCTCGGCACAGGGCTGCTGTGCTGCTCCGGAGGGCCCTGCTGCCCGGGGGTCCCCATCCTCTCCCTGTAGCCGTGCATGGCTGGCAGCGCTGCGGTGCATTTGTCTCCGATCTCACTACCCCTGTGCACTGCCTCTGTCAGCCAAAGAGCAGATGAGGGGTTCATGGGCAGGAGGTGCTTCATTCTCCAGTCTGTACATAGAGAAAAGCCTCGATTTCTGTCCCTCCCCTGCCCTGCTGCGGGGCTCCATGCCCTGCCGCTGTACATGTGTAGATACCTGTAAATGGCTGAGTTTTGCACCGCCCCCCGGGGCCAGGAACCGTCCTCGGCTGTTGCCAAATCCTGGTGCAATAAAGTAATGGGTTTTGCGAGTCCTGCCTGCGCCTCCTGCCTGGGGCTGAAGGGCCGGGAGCGGGGCTGGGGCCAGGGCCAGCCTCTCTTCCACAACGGACTCCTCCCTGGCTGCAGTCTCTTTGCAAGGGAATAAATCAAGACGGCCATGTCACGATTTTTTAAGGGTTATAGTTGGGATGCACTTCTCCCTCAACAAGGAGTCGCACAATGGCACACACTTTTGTCCAGTGTAGCCTCTGGTTGGTGTCTGCAATACATCTGGTGCAGCAAACGCTAACACCTTTACCTGGAGCCTCCCTTACCACCCGTTCAGACACGGGGGCAATCCCCAGCTGTTGTGGAATGAAAATGGCCTACGAATTGCTACTGCAGGCTGACACCTTAGTTTGGTTTGATTTGACCAAACGTCCGCTCATCGCACACGTTCCGCTTCCTTCGATAGCGTTATTAGAGGACTTTCAAGATGTTGACGTGGCTTGTTTGAGTCAGCACGTCGCAGCACGATGAAAGGAGGACTTGCACTGAAGTAATATCGTCGTTCTACCTGTAACCTGCTTTAAAACCATGAATGTGCACAAATCATCCCGACTGGTTTTGAGGAGTTTCTTTGATTCTTTCCAGTTTGGGTTGGATGAGATATCAGCAGTGCCCAGCTTTCACAGATAGCTGGTTTCACCTGGGAGGCCAATACCATTACCCCCATTTCACAATGGGGAACGGAGATGCAGAGCAATGCTGCGACTGTCCCAAGGTCGCCCAGCCGCCAGTACCAGATCTTGAAACGGCATCCAAGTTTCTTGAGTCCTGGTCTGGTGCCTCACCCACGAGGCTGCCTACTGCCCACGCAGCAAGGGTTTGCAGCCCCTGTATCCACGTCCCGACGCAGCCCTTACGTTTGCCTTTGTAGTTCAGGAGTCTGGTTTTTACTGGCATACGGGTTTGCATCTTGTTCCAAAAAATAAGCAGCCATTATCCCATGACTATACACCGTCTACACCACGCGTTAAATGATGCATCTTGTGAAACTTCTGCACAAATCTTTAAGGAGACACTTCTACTTTAATGTTTTCAAATTTGCCAATCAGTTTAAAAACAAAAAAGCCATTTTGCGAGAGACGCCTGTTCAACGATCTGAACTGATTTATTTTTCATTTCTTAAAAGAATAGTAAAAGATGCCTGCTCGCCTCTTTTTTTATTTATAAGCCTTCTCAGGGTGGGCCTGACAGCACGCTCAGGCTCCTTTCTCTTGCTGCTCGTCCCTGCGCCCTCCGTGCCGTGCCGTGCCGTGCCGCGCCGCGCCGCGCCGCGCCGCGCCGGGGCTGATCTGCATCGGAGCAGGGGGGGCGGCTCGCCCTCACGAAACAGAGCCCACATCCTCTGCAGCTGCTCCCACACCCAGCCCCACGCCGGGCCCCAGCGCAGCCGTGTGCCTCCTCTCGATTCCTCTTCCCCAGGGTGACGGGGCACTGCCAGCCCTGACGCCGGTTGACATGGGGACAGGGCCCGTGGCCCCGGGGGATGTGGAGCTTCCCCTTCCCTGACCAACAAGTTGGGAAACCGGGGAGGTGCGGGGGCGGCTGCCGTCAGACCTCCCCTCCCTGCGCTGCCCTCTTCCTGGATGTCTGCGGGCACTGCTGCCCCATGTTGCCGGCCCCGCCATGGTGTCCCGTGTGCTTTGCATTTGCCACATGTGACCTTCACCAGGCCTCTGTGAGCTGCCCGGGCTGGAGCCGGGCTCCTCCCTAACATCGTTTGCTCGAAGCTGTGGGCCAGCGCATGCTGCGGCTGGGGGCCTCCAAGCCCCAGCCCCCCCCCGGCACCATGACCCAGCCCGTCCCGGGGACAGTGGGGCTGCACTGCTCGCTGCCTGGGGCCGGCGCCTCTGGAGCAGCTCCTCTCGTGGGAGATGCCTGGGTGCCGTGGGCGTTGGGGCTGCACCGCCGGTGCTGTCAGGCTGAGCACGGTGAGAGGCAAAGCCGAGGCCTGGTGCTCAGCTCGCCGCCTCTGCTGGGACCCTGCAGATAGATGCCAGCGGGGCCGTGCCCCGCCAAGGGCTCCCACACCGCCAGGCCAGCGTGCGCCTGCCCTTCCTGTTTAAAAGCGTGGTGCAGTGCACGGCGAGGTGGCTGTTGCGTCCCACCCAGAGCTGGCTGTGTTTCGGGGGTGGTGTGCTCACTGATGCAGCACGGGGCTTCCCCAGGGTGTGTGTGCGCGGCCAGGGGCCCCCCACGTGGGCACCGTTGAAAGCAGCCGTTCGCCAGAGAGCGGCCGCGGGCTTTTCTTGCGGCAGGCCCCTGCGCAGCCGGAAGCCGGGCCAGGCTCACCCCGGCACGTGTGCTTGCAAATCAGTTTCTGGCTCCTCGGAGCAGACCCCTACTGGACTCGGTCTGTCCCAGGGCAGGACAGGGTGAGGGTGGGCACACGGGGTGGGGTCCCTGCTGGTGCCACGGGTGGGGGTTTTGCTGATGCTGTAGCTCCTGCCTGGCTGCACCGGCGGGGTTTGACCTTCCCAGCCATCTGCCGCAGCACAGAGCAAATCCCTGGGTCAGGCCTGGTGGCAGGGACGTGGGCTCCTCCTTCCCCGCACCTGCTACTGGGAAGGGCGGCAGCCCTCTTCTCACAGCCACTCCTGACCCACTGATCTGGGGGGGGGGGCTCAGAGATGCCCTCCGTGCCCAGGCACTCATGTGGGGGCCAGTCTGGGGCTGCTGTGCTGGCTGGGCTGGGGCTGGCATGGGACCGGCGCCTGGTCGCCTCGTAGGGTCAGTCTGCCTAACGGGCAGAGCTCAGGTCTGGCCCCGTGCCCCTTCCCTCGGCCTGGGGGTGCCGGGTGGGGGTTGGTGCCGCAGAGCAGAGCGCAGGCAGCCCTGATCCTGCAGGATTACAGCAGGGATTAGGGTCTCGGGAAGAGGGGAGGGCCTGGTGCTGCAGGCATAGGGAAGCCCAGGCATAGCAGGCAGGTCTGGCCCTGCTTCCCCTGGGCAGGGGAGGGGGCTGCAGGCCCTGGGGTCTCCCCCTGCTGCTGTGCAGCTGGCGGCCATGAGCCCTGCTCCAGCGGCACCCGCAGGGGCTGCAGCCGTGCCAGGAGGCCCCCAGCTTCCCAGGCCTGGGTGACCCCACGCTGGGGCTGAGGCCATACAAGGGACTTGATGCCAGGACCTGGTCGTGCATGATGACCAGGCTGAAGCACAGCCTGCCCGGGTGTCCCTCTTCAGCTGGTTCCAGCAAGGCAGGCAAGTGCTCAAGTGCAGGCCTGCACGCTTTGGCGGTGCTGGGACTCCCGGCCCCGTGCCCGCAGCTTCCTGCACCCGAGGGTGCCCCCGCAGGTAGCACACCTGCCACCTTCAACGCTGCCTGCTCCTTGTGCTGCCGGGACAGGGCTGTGTGGAGCTCATGTCCCTCCTTGGTGCCCTCCTGCAGCTTGGAGGCCCAAGACCCTCAGCCCAGGGGCAGTTTGAGCCTGGCAGGTGCCCCCAGCTGTTCCCAGGCAGGGGGCAGCTTGCCATCTTCTCCTCCTCCTCTCCAGGCACCAGACACCCCCTCTCCTGCTGCTGTGGCAGGGGTGGCCCAGCAGATGCTCTGAGGCCCTGGCCAGCTCTGCGCCCCCCGGGCCTTGGCTGCAGGAGGGATGAGGGTGTGTAGCGGGCAACACAGGGATGCAGGGGGTGCATTGGCTGCAACGGAGCAGCATGGAGCCCTGGGCCTTGCTCCTGCGGGGTTTAGCTAGGTGCGGAGGCAGCGGGGAAGCCCGCTCTCTGCCTATTCCAGCTGGCATCGTCAGTGCCGGGAGCAGGGTCATGTGAGTATCCACCCGTTGCCGAGGGAGGGCTGGGGCTGTCCCTGTCTGGGAGCTGCTATTCCTGCCAGCCTGTTGGCGTTGCTGGGGTCCTCGGCTGGCCAGGGCAGAGCGGATGGGGCGTGGGGCTGGCATCGGGGTCCCTGGAGCTCTGTGCTTTACCCTCTCAAGCTCTGCAGGCCCGAGGGTGTGGGGAGGGCAGACAGGGCCCCGAGCCAGGAGGCAGCTCATTGCCCACATGCCGGAGCTCAGCATGGCATGCTCGGCCTTCCCTTCAGCCTGCGAGCCGGCGGCAGCAGCCCAGAAAAAGCAATCTGCTGGCCAGTCGCAGTGGCTGGACAGTGCCCTGCAGCCCTCCGGCCAGTCCTGGGTCAAGGCCCATGCCCGGGGGCACCTGCAGCTGGTGCTCCTGGCCATGCTCCTGCCTGGCATGCTGGGGTTCGCGTCTCGTGTGCTCCGGCGGCTGCAGCAGGCGGTCGGTGACCAGGTGAGTGGCCCCTGCCTCGGCTCTGGGGCCCAGGCCACGTCCAGCTCTGGGCCCGGGACTCAGCTCAGCGAGGACCCATTTTGGGAGGGAGATGTCGTCTGCACCTAGGGGTAGGGGGAGCCTGGGTGGGCAGGGGTGCAGCCCAGGTCCGTGCCTGGGCACCCGCCTGGCTCTCCAGCCAGAGCCCCAGGCCCTCCAGCCATGCTGAGCGTCCCCAGGGCAGATGGAGCGTGCCCCAAGGCACCCTCCTGCTTCCCTGGGGAGCAGCAGGCTGGGCGAGGACCCGCACAGCATCCCCCTGTAAAGCTGCAGAGCCGGGCTGTGCCCAGCAGACCCTGCCCTGGGCATGCCAGGTCCCTGGGGGCTGCTTGTGCCCCCTCCCCTGAGGCTGGCGGAGCCAGCGAGGGCGCGCTGGCCCCCCAGCCCCACTTCCTTCCCTCCCTCCCTCCCTCCCTCCTTCAGCGGTGTCGTTTCTGCACCTTCCTTTTCTGCAGCGCGGTTGCTATGCAACCGTTGGCTCCCTGGATGCTGGAAGCGCCGGTACTGAAGGATAAGCCGGATCTAAAAATACCCGGCTGCAAGCACCCCCCCGCCCCTCCGCCCCGGGGTGCACGGGCCGGCAGGGCAGGACGCGGGGCCTGGAGGGGCTGCTGCCTGGAGGCTCCCAGCCGGGTGGATCGGGGCCCTGGCAAGCGCCCGGCAGGGAGCCGGGATTGGCTGGGCGCGTGCGTGG